TCCTCTTGGCGCCGCCGCCTCCCGTCGGTGACCGCCTCCTTCGCCCTCAAGACCTCGATATGGTCCGAGCTCGGAGGCTCCGTCGGGGACCTGGGCACCTACATCCCCATCGTCCTGGCCCTCACCCTCGTCAACCGCCTCGACCTCGGCACCACCCTCATCTTCACCGCCCTCTACAACGCGGCCACCGGCCTCCTCTTCTCCCTCCCCATGCCCATCCAGCCCATGAAATCGATCGCCGCAGTCGCCATCACCGAGCCCGACCCCTCATCCGTCCCCAAGATCATGGCGCGCGGCACTCACTCGCGCCGCCCCTCCTCCTGGGCCACCGGCCTCCTGTCCTTCTTCTATCGCTTCGATCCCTCCCGTCGTCCGCGGCATCGCAGCTCTCCCAGGGCCTCTCCTTCGCCTTCTCTGCGTCAGGTACGTCTGCTTGACAGGACCTCTCCACGCAAGTCATCGCCCCCGCCACTGGCTCGGCTCGACGGGCTCGTCCGCCCTCTCCGCCCTCTCTCGTCATCATCAACACCGCTTCCTGGGGCGACGAAGGCAAGGACGGGGGGGAGGGGGAGGGGAGGGGGAAGGAAGATCCCCCGGCGCTGGTGCTGTCGTGGCTCGGCCTCGCCCTCTGCTTCGCGCGCGACCCTTCATCCTGAGACACATGACTTCGCCGTCCCCCTCCGTCGTCCGGATTTACTCTGCATCGAACGAAGACGGGCTTCGTCAGGCGCCATCCCTCAGAATCCGCTCTTCGGTGCTCAACTCGTCATCGCGTCTGCTAAGGCTGTCTCCGACCTGTTCCCCGAGAAGAGGAAACGTCCGTCACGGCGGTCTCTGTCAGCGTGGGCTGATGAAGCCTCGTCGGTGCTGGTTCGGGGCCATGCCGTCTGCAGGGGCGGGGGGGCTGGCGGGCAGTACAGGTTCGGCGGGCGGAGCGGGCCTGCGTGCTGTTTCTGGCGGTTCGCTAAGCTTGGCGCTGGGGCTGGCGTTCGGTGAGCTCGTTCGTGAGGATACTGGGCCGGTTCCCGATCGGGATCCTCGGGGTGCTGCTGCTGTTCTCGGGGGTGGAGCTGGCGATGGCGTCGAGGGACATGGGCACCAAGGAGGAGTCGTTCGTGATGCTGGTCTGCGCGGCGGTGTCGCTGACGGGGTCGAGCGCCGCGCTCGGGTTCGGGGTCGGGATTGTCGTGCACTTGCTGCTCAGGCTGAGGGAGGCGGAGTTCGGGTCGGTGATGGGGAGGTTGGGTAGGAGACCTGTGGCCGCCGAGAATGGAGATGAGAGGGGCACTGGGGTTTAAGGATTCGGATCCTCTCCACTATCTAAAAAGTAATGGAGAGACCACTACATAATCATAACCATTGATTATCTAGTTGGTGGTTATGATTTTTTTCTTTTAGTGCAAATTAGGAATGAGTACAATACACGATGGTATGGTAATTGTTAGATTTAGATTGTATCATAACCGTCTATTAAGTAATTAACGATTGAGATTAAAAGTAGCGGTCTCTCCACTACTTTTTTTTAGCGAAGAGGATCCAAATTCGGGATTTAAACGGATTCGGATCCTCTCCACTACAAAAAAAAAACAGTGGAGGGACCACTACATAATCACGGCCATTGATTATCTAGTTAATGGTTGTGATTTTTTCTTTTAGTGCAAATTAGGAATGAGTGCAATACACGGGGGTATGGTAAGCATTAGATTTAGATTGTATCATAACCGTCTACTAAATAATCAACAATTGAGATTAAAAACAGTGGTCTCTTCACTACTTTTTTGTAGTGGAGAGGATCCAAATCCGATATAAACGGTCAGTTCCGGAAAAATTGGAATTCTTTCCACGCGTGTATCGTGCTGCTGTTGAAATTTTTGGAGCAAGCTAGATAGGCTACAATCCATGGAGTAGAAAACTTTATCGAACAACCGCACGGGATCAAAGCGTCCAAATTAATTCACGAAGAGGATGCAATACTAATTCCAACTTCGTCTCCACTGGAATTTTGATTTTGGTGGCGTTTGAAGTATTGAACCACCACCGTACAAGACTAAATACGAGTTCTGTGAAAAAATAAATAAAACAGAACATTCTCTCAAAAAAAAAAAAAAAACAGAACAAAGAAACAAACTCTATCAAAAAGAAGTATTTAAGTATTTTGTATGAAAAAAATTAAAATTCATAAGTAGCTTTCTAGTTTTCTACTATATACTTTAGAAAAATTTAAGCGCGCCCTAGAAAAATTTACAATGTACCACTAACCGAACTTGTGTAGCGAAGCAAGCTATCACCTAATAAATCCTAATTTTCTAAGTGGTGAATTACATATCTGAATTTGTCCATAACTCGCTATGTAGCGCATACTATGTAATAATGGTTGGAATGCAGGGATTTTCCTACCTCCCCGACCGACCGTCTAGGCTCAAATCATGTCAGTGGGGCCAATGTTTTCTGGAGTTTATTTGGGTTGGGATGTGTTGGGAGCTAGAGACACCCACTTGACTGGTGCGGAAGCTAAATCACCCAGAGAGAGAACAACCAACCTAAGCAATAACGAATACACAAATAAAGCAATAAGTAAATCAGATAAGACAACAGATTTATGTGGTTCGGCAAACTTACCTAGATTCACAGGAGTCACACAAATAATTTCTTATTTAACCACAAGAAATTACAACCTTGCAAAGAGAAGTTCTCAAACTTGAGATCTCTCTACAGTACCGCGTGTGATTTATTCAACTGAATAAATCACCTCAATCTCAAATTTTCTTAACTGAAAATTGCTTCTCAAAATGCCTTTAAGAACCACCGCCACTCCTCAGATCTGAGAAAATGCGAGATGAGGCTCAAATTGAAATCTCGTGAACAGGGTTTCCCTTTTATAGGGAATCCCTAGGTCACGTGGGCTGGGAATCAAATCCATCATGCGAGCGCCTCCATCAGGCGAGCTCGTGCTCCAGCAGGCTACCTCCACACCCACGACATCAGGCGAGCTCGAGCACTATCAGGCGAGCTTCCAATGCCCGCAGGCGAGCTTCCTCGACTCGCCCCCTCACCCGCCCCCTCACCCGCATCCCACGCAGGCGAGCTTCCTCACCTCACCTCTCAATCAGACGAACCAGAACCCCCTCGCCTCAGGCGAGCTCCGACGCCACCTAAGGTCCGTTCTTCTTCAATTCTCCACCTCGTACAATATTTGATAAAACTTAAATTTTGGACGAACACCAAAAGAACATCGCAAACGCCAAACCAGGCCAAAACCAGCTGCACCATTATATCATGGTTGCCTACGTACCCTCTGACTGGGATCAAGCTAATATTAGTTCTACCTTTTTCCCTCTTGGGCAGATCAACACGAGCTGATATGAAGCAAGTCCAAGCAATAATGAAACTTGCTACTTATCACCACCTTAGTCAACATGTCTGTTAGGTTCTTAGTTGTGTGCACCTTCATGAGAGAAATATCACCTTCCTCTATGACATCCCGCATTAAATGATACCTGACGTCGATATGCTTGATACGAGCATGATGAACTTGATTCTTAGCCAAATAAATTGCACTCTGACTATTGCACCACAAGTTCACGCAAACCTTCTCAATCCCTAAATCATCTATGTCACGCCCCGCTTTCAAAATTACCGGCAATTGGAACGTGAACAAGCTCGTGACGTATTAGATTAAGGAGAATAAATAAAAATAAATATTTCTCCTCAACCTAATACGCTAAGCGTTAAGAAATAAATACAATGCGAAGTCACATGTCCCCGATCACAGATAGCAAGAATATAATGAATAACACAGAATAAAATAATACATATCACAAATGAATATCATCCAAGACATAATATTCGGGTCAAACATGCCCTCATACAAAATTGAACAAATGAATATTGGAGAATATAAAATACAATGATCAAGCAGAAAAGGAAATGCTACAAAAGAAACTAGGATCATCAACTAAGAAGAGGTACTGAACTTCGGCATATTCTTCAACTCTATCTGCAAGGCACTCCTGCTGAGAATCCTCTGGCTCCTGACGATCTCCCAGCTGAACCTGTTCTTCCTCCAAGTCTAACGTACACCAGAGAAAACAAGTGTATGTTAGCGTGCATGCTCACACGACAAGACCCCACAAAAGAAAAGAACGAACGAAAACCCAATGCGAAAAACGATACGATAACAGAAATGACAAAAGGACGTACAACTGGAAATTCAACAAAATTAAAATGCAATCCACTACTAAAATATAATAATCAGAAGAATCCAAAAATTAAACGGGTATTGAAGTCATGCAGCTAGCGATCGGAATAATCATCCAAGTGACAAGGTCATACAACTAGATGGAATTAATACTTAAAAAATATACAACTCGAGACGTAGTACATCGAGCGAAATAATCCAAACAAGAAAACTCTCATGTATATACCATATGTCTCAATTTGTAGATAATTAAATATAAATCCCGATCTAGGTATGAAAAGAAATATAACTGGTCCACATCTCACAAGAATCCATAAACATTCAAATAACAAGGTCATGTAGTTAACCATCCTATAACAGGTCATTGGTGCACCTCTCACATAGAGTCGAAGATCATATTCTCGGATAACCGATTTTTCACAAAATCATCTATGTGTAACATTTCACTGCCCCCCTCAGGCCTACCCCAGGGCTACACAGGAGTTTCACTGGTGCGAGCTTGGAAATAATCAACAATCACTATATCTCTGCTCCTCAGACCCACCTCAGTGCTACACAGGAATTTCACCGGTACGAGCCTGGAAATACATCAACAATCACATCCGATCACCTAAACCAAAAATTTCCCATCCCAAATTTTCTTGTATTTCTAAGTCAACACACACACATAGATCACTAAGTCTCGGTCATGATGCTCAAAGCCACTAAGTCATGAACTACTAAGGTTCTCAAACACAACAAGGAGATAATAATAACACTAATTTCATGTAACCACATCATGACATGTCGAATACAGTAAAATATTCACAAAACATGAAATGTAATCATGAACAACAACTATGTAAATTCAGAAAATAATTCCTTTTCTAAAATAAATTCTTTTAAAATTATTTCTCATTATAATAATCCAAAATATTCTCTTTCCCAGAATAAATTCTTTAAAATTATTTCTTAAAATTATTTCTCATTATAATAATCCAAAATATTCTCTTTCCCAGAATAAATTCTTTAAAATTATTTCTCATCAATTATTATTCTAAAATAATTCAAAATATTCTCTTTCCCAGAATAAATTCTTTAAAATTATTTCTCATCAATTATTATTCTAAAATAATTCATTTTCTCAACAATAAATTCTTTTAAAATTATTTCTCATTATTATTCTAAAATAATTCTTTTTCTCAAAATAAATTCTTTTTAAATTTTATAAATTCTCTAAATGATTTCGTTATCAAAATAAATTCTTTCACTTCATTATCATTATTTCGAAAATACTATTTATCACACAACTATGATTTAAATCAATATTATTCACCAAATAACCCACGCAGATAAATATGTCCTAAATAAACTATACAAATAATTCATAATAAACATAAATATTCAAACTACGAAGTAGGGAGAGCGAGATCTTACACATAATAATTTATGACAAAACTAAGAATTAAAATGAAAATAATCGAGGTTCGGGATCTTACCTCGGGTATCGAACGAGTGGACTACGGATCCAAAGGCGCTACTGGGCGCTCGAGGCAACGCGATCGTCGGTGGTGGTCGACGTCAACGGCGAACGAGGGGAGGCATCGAGCTCGAGCAACGAGGGGGCAAGCAGCGGCTGTTGGAGGGTTATGGCGGACTGCGGGGTTCTGTGGTAGCGGCGGTCTAGTGGTGGATTGTCCTTCTAACATATGCATATTCAAAGAAGCCTCCATTAGATCTTTTCTCTAAGGCGGTTAAACCAAAAACTAATATAGAGACCAAGCTCTGATACCAATTGTTGGACCCTAGAGGGGGGGTGATTAGGGTCAAGAGGCTATAATTATGTAATAAAATTAAGACAAGCAAACCACAGTATTCCAAAGCAATCAAAATAGAGGAGATAGGGTTAGGAATCGTTATCCTGTGACGCACGATATGTTAACGAGGTTCGGTCCGCTGACCTACGTCCCCGCTCCCCACTCTTGAGGAGAAATCCACTACACAGCCCGGTTTGGAAGCCGGAACTTCGTCTACACAACGATCCCCTCACGATCTCACACTACCCAGTTGATCTCACTAGATCACTCCCACACAATTGATCTACTCAAGATCACACTCACAAGATAGTAGAAATGGTGTAAGACTCTCTCTTTACAACGTCCCTATGGCAAAGAGAAAGAGCACACTGAAGCTGGGAAGTGAACACACAAAAAACACAGAAAGAGCAGGTTTGAAAATTTAGCTCAGTGAAAACAACGTCTCTGGTTTTTTGCAAAAGCTGGG